TGACAGTGTTAGCTATGTGAGGATGGGAAAGGTGTTACCTTAAAGATATTAAAGAGTAAGAGTCTATAAAAACTCCAACCAACGAGCATGTGAGACTTAGGGGGCAGTTCGTCTTAAGTATCGTTATGAAATTTATTTATTTGCTTCTTAACTCTCTGCATAAGCTGGCAGGACCCCCAGGTGCCCCAGTTGTCAGTGCAAATTGCTGATGGTCTTCAAGTTGTCCTAAATTTAATTCTTTAAATGCTTTAAATGCCATTAGACCTTGTGCCTTTGCCCTGTCTGAAGATTGTCTGAGACTTACTTTGTTCCTTTTCCTTGGGGTTGAAGCACCACCACCTAAAACATGGTGAAATGCTGTTGCCACTGATGTCAGTTGAAGCTTGGGGCATCGGGTTCAGGGGGTTCAGCTCAGTTTCCCTCTTTTTTTGCCATTTGTATTGTAATGAAGTTTATTTGACTGACATCACTCCATGGACATTTTTAAGATTTTCACTAGCTGTGAGTCAGTGATGAAGAAAACCTTCCCTTCATCCTCTGATGCTGGTGGTATTAAATATGCAACCTGGGGACCAAAGTCTCAGACTTTGCCCCTGTGCTTTTGCAGCCACCCTGCCACACTGGTAGTCCTTATGGGTGGGATTCATCTGACCACAGATGCCAACATTTAGGTCTGAACAAGTGTGGAGATTCTTTCACCATTAATGGTTTATTGTAACCCTACAGTAGCTCCTAAAATAGGTCTGGAGATTTTTTCCTTAGAAGTGCCTGTTCCTCTCACTAGAAAAAAAAAGCAGTCTAGGGTGACACCTACCTCATGGAGATCTGAAGTCATGTGAGATTAATTCCATCCTACACAACCAATCTTTCATAGTGAGATATTTTCTCCAAAGATGAGAATGAAGATGAGAGATGGTGGGGTGAAGAGTGCAATATTTTGCATCTTTGCTTTCACTCACATATCGCTTTCGTTGATGTTTTTATGATAAAGTCACCCTTCCATGTGGATGTTGAAAACAAGGCAATGGCAGGTGCCTGCCAGAGAGGACATGTTTTCAACTGAAGAGAGAGCTGAGCATATTCCCAGACAAATCTAACCTACTGAGTAACTTAAATATTTATATGTTTTAGTGTTTTGATGTATTTTAACAGTTATTACTATCATGTTTTCTCCAAAAGAAAATTGCTACATCCCTCTTTTCTCAGTATGAGTCTTCTCACAGTTTAATTTTAACATTTCTTCATACCCTTTGCTGTGTTTTTAATTTCTTGGCCCATCCTCAGTGTCTCTTCTACCTTTCTGTCTTCCTTTGCCAAAGTGAATATTCAGTTTCTGTTCCATATTCCCACTGTCTCCTCCTTGGAACTGCATTTTTCTTTCTTTGTTTCCTCACTTGGTCACACCTCTCCCTTCTCTCCAGCCTTTCTGCCCTTCTCCTTCTTTTATCCCCTGTCTTATTAAGAATTTTCTTCCCTTCCCTTCTCGTGCCCACTCTTCTCACCCAGCTCTCCCAGCAGCACACTTTGGAGCCAAATTTTGTGCAGAAGATGACTCCACACCGATGGCTGTACTTCGCTGTGCCACCACCTTGTGCTTCAACCACATTTTCTGCCACGCGCCCATTGTTCCTCTTCACGCGCTTGCAGTCCTTCCATCTCCTGCCTCTCCTCTTCTGCCAAACTGTGCATGGCTGAAATGGTTGCAGCAGTAGAAAGGTCTCTGCTGCTCTGATCTGCATGTCCCGGGGGGCTGAGGCATTGACCACTGGAACACTGCCTTAAAATAATCAATAACACGGGGTGGCACGCCAACGTTGCGCTGGCCAACCAGGGATAACTTGGGGTATTTCCTCATTCTCTGGAGGGAAACAGCTATTTGTTTAACTGACGCCATCACCCAAAAACATCGCTGTGCCTCCCTCAGACCACCACGCTCCAGGAGAGAGACGCTGGAAAGCCTGAAGCCAGCTACAGGGAGCTCTGGAGCCTGGAGGCCATCTTAGCCCCGTGTAGAAGGTAAGCAAAGGTATTTACCTGCTTTCCTCAGCATTAAAAAGCAAAACTCTCCAAAACCCTAGTTAAAAATTAGAAGCTTGCTCTAGCCGCCTTGCTTAACAAAGCTGTAGAAAGTGCTTTTGTTTGCCGAGTTAATAAAGTGTTTTGAGTGTTTCTGGCAATCCAGAGTGTTTTCCTAAGCTGTAATAACAAGGTCAGATCCTCTGATGTACACAGGTAGCAAAGTGGCATCGATTTTGGTGGTAAAGGTTCTCGCCAGGTCTGGTGATTGATGTTTAGGTAAGTTCTCCTTGCAGTTTGAAGTGGTATTGAGATAGGTCAGAGAGAATGGGCTGTAAACCCCTGTTCTTCCAGCCAAAGAAGCGTCGTG